AGGTAGACAGGTTTTCACAAAGATAAAGCATTTTTAGTATACCCCCTACACTCAAAATACACTAAATCAGGAAGTCAAATCATTTTTAAATTTAATCTGGGTATAGTGTGTAATATGCATTCTCATGTTTTTCCTTTGATTCCATAAAGGATAGCAAAACTACCACAATGCAAGTATATATTATTTCAAAAAATCGTAATTCAAAATTAGCAAAAATGACTGTATTTATAGAACTAGCACACCAAAAGCTATAAACGACTATGTTGTTGTTGTTGTTAAGTGCCATCGAGTCGGTTCCGACCCATAACTACCCTGTATAGGGTTTCCAAGGAGCAACTGGTAAGCTTGAACTGCCGGACTTGCAATTCAAATGGCTTTGCAGTCTGGCTCATTAACCCACAGCGCCACACCAGGACTGGTCCCTCCTGACAATATGTCCAAAGTATGAGAGATGAAGTTTGGTCATCTTGGCCTCCAAGGAGCACTCTGGCTGCACTTCTTCCAATACAGGTCTATTTATTCTTTTGGCAGCCCATGGCACTCTAAATATTCTCCTCTAACACCATAATTCAAAAGCAACACTTCTTCTATGATCTTCCTCATTCACTGTCCAGCTTTCACATGCATATGAGGTTACTGAAAATACCATGGCTTGGGTCAGGCGTACCTTAGTCTTCAAGCTGACATCTTTGCTCTTCAACACTTTAAAAAGGTTACTTATGTAGCAGATTTCCCGTATTGCAATATGTCGTTTGATTTCTTGACTGCTGCTTCCATGAGTGTTGATAGTTGAGCCAAGAAGAATGAAGTCCTTGCAAATTCCATTTTTTCTCTGTTGATAAGAATGTTGTTTACTGGTCCAGTGGTGAGGATTTCTGTTTTCTTTACATTGAGATGCAATCCAGACTGAAGGCTGTGTTCTTCGATATTCATCAGTAAATGTTTTAAGTCCTCTTCACTTTCAGCAAGCAAGGTTGTATCATCTGCACATCGCAGGTTGTTAATGAGTCTTCCTCCAATCGATGCCACATATTTCTTCATAGAATCCAGCTTTTCTCAGATTATTTGCTCAGCATACAGGTTGAATAAATATGGTGAAAGAATACAACCCTGTTGCACACCTTTCTTAATTTTAAACCATTCAGTGTTCCCATGTTCTATTCGAACACAATTAAGTGTTCCGGAATACTCATACTTCGCAATGTTGTCCATAGCTTGTCATGATCCACACAATTAAAAGCCTTTCTGTAGTCAATAAAGCACAAGTAAACATCTTTCTGATATTCTCTGCTTTCAGCCAAGATCCATCAGACATCAACAATGATATCCCTCTTTCCACAGCCTCTTCTGAATCTGGCTGGAACCTCTGGAAGTTCTCTGTCAGTGTATACTTGCAGCTGTTTCTGTATTACCTTTAGTTAAAACTTTACTCGCATGGGATACCAACATAAGTGGGGGCTCCAAAACATTTGTGGAAAACAGGAATTACAAGATAATGAAACATTTCCATGAACCTTTTTAAGTCATTGTGTATTTCATCTTGTTAAGCAAAAATTTTTTGCTGTTATTAATGACTCTTTGGCTTTAATGTATATGTTAGATGGTATGTTGGTGTTGTTGTTAAGTACCGTGGAGTCGGTCCTGACTCATAGTGACCCTGCACAGGGTTTCCGAGGCTGTAAATCCTTACAGGAGTAGAATGCCTGATCTTTCTCCCGTGGAACCACTGGTAGTTTTGAACTGCCGACCTTGAGGTTAGCAGCCTGGTTCGTAACCACTACACTAGAGCACACAAAAAAAATTTAAACAAATAATCCTAAGCTTAAGAGGGGAGAAAATACTCAGACAAAACAACACAAAAGTACAGTGTAAATAATCCATATCCAGTTAGAATATATTACTGCTCATAACACATACAAAAAAATATTAGGATATTCAGGTTATTTGGAGCATCATCCAAGAACAAGAAAGGTTTGACTAAGATGGAAGAGATGGCTAAGTAACTAAGAAAAGGCACTTTGTTGTTTTTAAGTGCTGCTGAGTCAATTCTGACTCATAGTGACACTGTATAGGGTTTCCAAGGAGTGGCTGGTGGGTTTGCACTAGCAAGTTGGTAGCAGTTGTGTGCAGTGGAGTCGGTTCTAACTCACAGAGACCCTGCATAGGGTTTCTGAGGCTGTAAATCTTTACGGGAGCAGAAAGCCTCATCTTTCTCCTGTGGTACAGCTGATCGTTTCAGACTGCTGACCTTGAGGTTCGCAACCCAACTCGTAAATCACTGCACTATGTTAACTCAGGTCGTATATAACCTGAGTACCACAAAAGATCGAAAGTCCAAACTGTGAGTAAAAGCCCAAACCCACTGCCATCCAGCTGCTTATGACGCGATAATGACCCTCTATATAGTGTTTCTGAGGCTGTAAATCTTTACGGAAGCAGAAAGCCTCATCTTTCTCTCCCACAGTGTGGCTGGTAGGTTTCAACTGCCGTCTTTGTGGTTAGCAAGTCAGTGCTGAGCAGTCCAGTGCTTATTCTACAGCACCATCTGGGCTACTAAACTGTTACTTCTTGTTAAGTGCCACTGAGTTAGTTTTGACTCATAGCAACCTTATACAGGAGCCGCTGGTGGGTTTAAACTGCCCACTTTGTGATTAGCAGTCTAGTCCTTTTACCCTACAGTACCATACCAGGAGTACAAATTGAAAGTAGAGGTAATCAGCTATTGTCTTTAATAATTTTTAAAAATGGCATTCCAAGACTAAAGAGCATATAGACTTCAAATTCTGCAGTAATCAAATATAGTGCTGAAAGCTGGAAAATAAAAGACCTTTTTCAATAGAAAAAAACCTTCATGATTGAAATAATTTCTAAACATTTAAAAAATATATTTTCATTGCCTTGTTTTTAAGCAAAGGCTTTTACAAATTCCACTTTTAAAAACCAGGACTTCTGTATGTTTGTGTTTAATTGTCACCATTTAAGATCGTAAATCGCTATATAAATTACACTTAAATCTCCACCAAAAACCTCCAAGACAGTAATTACTAATTATCAACTCGCAAACGGCCAAAAATTTTTTAACAACAAGATAATTCATCTCAGAAAGCTGTACAGCTTTCCCTAACTGAAATACTGTATATGAACTTGAGAGAAGAGGAACGGGATATGAGTCCATGTCTTTAACTCCAAATCCCCTCCTCCCTCACAGCATCACTCTCTCCATCCAAATGACTTGGCCAATGAGATTCTATGTCCAACTATTTTCTGCTCAGGATAAAAGTAGAAAAAGTTATTTCATTTAATGAAATATTAAATTCAACTTCGGTTAAAAAATGCTCTAATTGTTGACACTGTCTTCTGAGATATTCTTTTTAGAATCTTTAACATCTCAGTACTACAAGACAACAAAGTTCCATATTCAATCAAGAATAACAAAGTAATACATTTTTCGCAGCTCAACAATTTCCACAAAATATCAAAATATATTACATGTCCTATTCAGACCTTAAGGAGCTCTGGTAGTGCAGTGGTTAAGAATCGGGCTTCGAGCCTTAAGGTCAGCAGTTCGAAACTACCAGCTGTTCCGCGGGAGAAAGAGGAGGCTTTCTGCTCCCGTAAAGATTTACACCCTCAGAAACCCTGTACAGAGTTGCTATGGGTCAGAATCGACTTGACAGCACTTTACAACAACATTCAGACCTTACTTGCTAAAGTTAAGACAAATTTCAGTATCAAATGAGTAAAAGATATACAAGCTTTATATAAATACATTGGACTTGACTTTTCCACACTGTTTTTACTATTAAAATACTAATAGATATCTTATTCCTACGGTTCCGACATCCCCAAATTTCTGCCTAATCATGACAGCAGTGACTAATGGTCAAAAATATATGATTAGTTTGGTTAATTCATCAGTGAGTAGATGTAAGACTGAGGAATACAACAATGCTAGGCTAATGTAACTATTTATACATTTAAAGTCACAGACAAAAAAGTTAACACTTTAACAACAGAAAATCTAAATCTTCTTTACATCTAAATAAAATACAATTAAAAAAATACAAATCAAAACATTTGCTACTTTAAGTCACAGACCAATATAAACAATCATCACCAACTTATGACTACAACTAAGTCCTTACTGTATTCATAAGTTGTTGTTGGTGGTAGGGGTGGCGGTAGCAGTAGTACGCTATCAAGTCTGTACATGGTGTCCCTGTATAGGGTTTCCAAGGCTGTACATCTTTGCAAGAACAGAAAGCCTCCTCTTTCTCCCAAGGAGCAACTGGATTTGAACTACTGAACTTGCAGTTAGCGGCCCAACATGTAATCCACTAAGCTACCAGAGCTGGGTAAGTGAGGTAAATATTTCACTTTCAGGTTTCTGAGTGGAGGGGAGTAGTTTTGATTAAACTATAATCCTACCCTTGTTTAGTATCAAGAATTGCCTATAATAAGCCATGCACATCATAAATGATGGATAAAGTTCAGGCTTGTTTAAGGGACACAATTCATAGTCTTAGTTGTACAACAGTCAAGGGACATCAATCAGTTCTATAAAAATTACTACCATTTTCATTCAATGACTGTTTAGTTGTTCTGACTCACAGTGACCCTGCATACATTTCCGAGGCTGTAAATCTTTATGGGAACAGAAAGTCTCATCTTTCTCCCACGGAACTGCTGGTAGCTCCGAAGTGCTGACCGTGAGATTAGCAGCCCGACTAGTAACCACTATGCTAACCTTGGTTAATAAAATTAAGACATATAAAATATTAATGACAAAAGATGAGGGAGGATTAATATAAATCAGGTAAGAGTGGTAAAAAGTAGCTTCAACATGAATATATTTACAATCACCTTTCTAGTCCAAGTCTATTTTCACATGTCTGAAGTACCAATATTATGAGGTAATAAACACATCAAGTGTCCCTCTCCAAAAGACAGCCATGATTAAGGAAAAGAAACCAAAAGCCAATAGTGCTTAGAAGACTCACCTCTTGTTGACCGGCTTTTCATCTTTTTCATAGGGTCGAACAAACCATTTCCCAATCCTGACGAAGTTCTTATCCATTAGGCACCTACAACAATTTCATCAACAATTACTTTTAAAGTTTCAACAACAAATTAACCACAGTAAATCACTGAGTCAGTAATGACTGATGAGATGCACCATTAAAAAGAAAAACATCAATTAAACTGTCAAGATGTTTTCTTAAAAATTACTGAGGTAAATTTTACCTTATCCTTTTCAAAAAACTCTTAAGTTTTAGGCATAGATTTTAGCATACACGACTCCTGCACATGTTTTTTTTACAAAACAAACTTGGTTGATTTATTCCTGAAATACCTTCACACCTGTGTATTCCTATAATCAAACCACACTGACAGCGTACCTTGGACTCCCAGGCCACGGAGAATGCCAGCACACAGCATTTCTGTAGTGTCCCAAGGATGTGCTTCCAAGTCACTGCCATCCATTTTGCTGTTTCAATGCTGCCTTCCCTACCCCACTCCCCGGGCATGTTATAAGCAATCCTTTGGCAAGTTTCTCAGTAATAAAAAGCATACTAGTGGCTTCATTAGTCGTGACCTTGTCCTTTTGAGGGTGTAGTAAAGAACTTGGATGCTGTCTTGCAAGAAAGCAAGGAACAGTCATTTGTGTAATAAAGATACTTTCTTTGCCCACACCTTCTGTTTCCATGCCTTTTGTGTACATTATGTTTCATGTTAAATCACAGGGTAACCTTTTTGAAGACGTATTAAATAGCAATTCAGCCCAACTCATTTAATACCAACAACACATATAATTCAACTGAAGTGACAACAATACAAACAGCTATGACCAAGTTCACTCATGTGTAGGCAAATGACAGCTCTATTATAACTGCCATCTGGCCAATTGTGAGACATCATCAATTGTAAGGAGGACCCTGATTTCCAAGATATAAAAATGTGAGGGAAAAAATGTACACTTTGGAATTGATGATACAAAGTCACTGCTAACAGCATCCAGTGAAACAGCACAGACCTTTTTAGAAAAGCCTCAGAACAAGAGTTATACAGCAAGTCTTTATTCAACACTCAGGCAGCTCCATACTTGGCCTCTGTGTCTGTAATTTCCACACCATCACGGAAGATGGAAACAATTCAAATCCTCATCCAACTCATTACAGGTTGGATGGGTTAGTAAATGGCAATAGTTTCCTCTGGCCCTTTGGGCAGTGCCAATAGGAAGCATTGCTGAATTAGAAAGTCAAGGGCTTCAACTGGTTTTACATTGAAAATGAATTTCTACAACAATTTCCCCACTTCATAATGAAAATCATTTTAAAAGGAATCCAATCTGCTTTCCTAAACTTCTTATTTAAGGTTAAAGACCATGTGATGGCATTACATTTACAGCAGGAAATATGAAATACTCAAGAAATGATATTAACTCTCCATAATTTATTCACTAGCTCAGAGAATTCTACGTTTTTAAAAACTTCTTGCTGTTAAGTGTTTTTGAATCAGTTCCCAGTCAGTGATCCTGTTTAGGATTTCCAAGGTTTGAATCGCCAACCATTCAGTTAGCAGTCCAGTGCTTATCTGACCGCTCCATTAGACTACATATAAATAGATATTTCCATGAAAATTTTGGTGATCCTTTCTTCAACAATAACAAATACTACAAATCATATGTATTACTGCCTGAACCCTTCGATTTGATGACAAGGTGCAGCATCTCCTAATTCTTGTAATGATAACATAAAGTGACTACTACACTGTTGATTTTTATAGTTGAAGAAGCTGAGGCACAAGGTCACAGAGCAGAGCTGGAAATGAAGCCCAGGTACAATCTAGTTCCAGAGCGAGGACTTTCCACTTCCACCTGATGTCACTAACTTCATGATGCCAAAGCTCCTCAATTCTGTCGTTCCTTAGATACAGGTGTATCAGGTGATAGCATTTCTTTATTCTCTAAAAGTTGTTAGTAAATTGCATGTGTATCTTTAAATCAATAACACTTAGAATGAAAGTAAGAGGGTGGGCACCAGGTATGGGATCACATCCAACACTAAAGCATTGCCTTCACGTGGCATTTGGACATCCTCATTTAGTACATACCATTCAAACACGTATAAATTCATTCTTTTATATATGTCTTGAAGGGCAGAGTAGAATAAGATCATTTACTCCGTAACAGAGAACACAACATGAATTTAGCGTGAAAACAGAAAAATCCAAAGCTTTGGCAAGTACTATATGAAACAAAACCAAAATATCTGCAACTATAAAAGACAATGCGTAGTTTGTTTCAAAACGTTTGCCCTTCAGTGAAAGTCAAAGTCACAAATTCTATTTGATGACTTCCTTCCAGGAAAAAAATGGGGGGTTGGGAAGGGAGGAACAGGATAGGATGGTGAGGGAGGTAGCACACAGCCAAGAACATTCAAGGACAAAGGCAAAAGACAGAAAGCTACCGAAAATTCTATTTGCGATTCTAACTCTCTGTACCAATATATCTCCTGGAGTTCCCCCTACAGATCATATTTCTTTGTCAGACAATGTCAACAAAAGGTTATTATCACTAATACACAAAACAGCCATGGAAATTACTGATCCTTCCATTTGAACCCATCTGATTCTAAACGGGATTTTCAACAGCTCATCGGTTTCTGTGATCAGTTATTTCCTCGGCAGTGAAAGGATGAGAAACAGAACTGCAATGGAGAAACCTGCATTTTTACTCAACTCTGTAAGTCCTAGGGGCTTGCCCCTGACTTCACCTCTGTATAAGCAGACAGTCAGGTTGGCATGAACAGCAGTCATAGGGCAGAGAGTTAGCCATGTGGCCGAATCTACCTCAGAGAAGGTTGGAACTTGCCCAGGGCGGTGGCTCCCTTTTCTCTGCCCTCACCCCAACCAAGAGAGAATTTACTGCTGAGCTGGGTGTACACATGAGTACATGTAAGAGGAAAGTATTCTCCCAAAGAGAAAGATAAAGTAACCCAACAATTATCAATAGTTACTCTTCAATTCCAAAGTCTCAACTTATTTTGGTCCAAAAAAAAACTCATTTTGAGTTTTCAAAAAAGAGACAGAAACAAGAGAATGGAGACAGAAGACTGACAGATGGGTATGTGTATACACAAGACCTGTACAGGGTACTCTGCGGTCAGAGTACAAAAAACATCTCTTCCAGGTGCTTTGTCCTTTAAGCAATGAAGGAAATGAAAGCGAAATGTGTCTTTGCTAAGGAAGATGGCTCAGCTATCTGACTGGTATAGGGTATGTACTAACTCAACAGCCAATTCCACGGAGGTACTAAATCCTACTCACCAACCATTTTTACTCACAGACATAAACAAACAAAAATTGAGAAAGCTATTACTGACTCTGACCCCTAGAAAGAAAAAAACAAAAACAAAATTTATGTTAAGAACGTAACAGAGCACACAATTGTGTAGGATTGAAGAACTCTATGAAGTAGATCCTAGGTTAAGAATTTCTACAGTAAGCACTATAAAAGAACGATGAGATTTTCTGTCCCTGTGGATATTTACAGACTATACAGGTTTGCTGTGAGTTGAAACCGACTCCACAGCACACTACCACACGTGGCTGGACTCCCTCTCTTGTCCCACTCTGTCCTTCCTCCTCTAATTAACATTCACTTTCTCTTTCCTGTCCCAGGTCAGCTTTGCACAACGCTCTAACAACTGCCGGTCAAGTACTCTCATTGCTGAGGTTTAATGACACACTTCTGTGTCTCTCTTCCCCGTGAAACAGGGCTTCCCACAGCTTCACTGATGGTCAGTTCACAGCTCAAAGTTTGCATTTCCACCCCAGATATACAGAATTATGAATCTACATTTTAATACGAATTCCGAATAGGGCTGCGAAGCCGCAAGGTCAACAGTTTGAAATTATCAGCTGTTACGCAGGAGAAAGATGAGGCTTTCTGCTCCCGTCAAGATTTACAGCCTCGGAAAACCTATGGAGGGTTGCTATGAGTTGGAACCGACTCCATGGCACATAACAACAACAAAAAAATCTGGGGTGGAAATGCAAATTATCGCCAGTGGGTCAAACAGGAATTAACTGATTCAAAGTCTTACCAGAAACTACAAGTTCCATGGCAGCAAAGACAGTATCTTTCTTACTCACTGAATAGTCAACAAAAATACTAAGTGACTGGTGTGGCACTGGAAGATAAGCACTGGTCTGCTAACCACAAGACTGGCAGTTCAAACCCACCATTCTCTCCTCAGAAAACCCTACACAGGGTCGCTATGAGTCAGAAACAACTTGATAGCATTTAACAATAACAAGGAGTCTTTGTGTGGAGCTGGAAGATAAGCACTGGGCTACTAATCCAAAGATTGGTGGTTTAAACACACCAGCCACTCCTGAGAAACTTTATACAGTGTCACTATGAACCAGCACCAACTCGATGACATTTAACAGCAGCAAAATGTAATAATGGGGTCCTGGTACAGTGCTGTGGGATAAGCACTGATTGCTAACCGCCCATGTTGGCAGTTCTAACCAACCAGCTGCTCCTTATAAACCCTAAACCGGGTCACTATGAGTTTTAAAGGACTAGAAGCTACTTAACAACAACAATGCAAAGATGCTTCATAATCTTCTCTATGTTTATAGGTGCTCAATAAAGACCTGAGAAATGCATTCTATACAGCAGACAGTGCTTTCCTATCCATAATGCAAATGTGTTATTCTTGTTTGTAACCGGTAATCATAGACCTCCTGTTGTTATTAGGTGCCATAGAATTGGTACCAACTCATATTGACCTTATGGCACAGCAGAAAAAAACACTGCCTGATCCTAGGCCAACCTCACTATTACTGCCACGCTTGAGTCCATCGATGCTGCTACTTGGCCAATCCATCCCGTTGGAGTTCTTTCTCTTTTTCTCTAACCGTCCACCTTACCAAACAGGGTATCCTTCTCCAGTGACTGGACCCTCCTGACAGTATGTCCAAAGTATGAGAGACGAAGTTTGGTCATCCTGGCCTCCAAGGAACACTCTTGGCTGCACTTCTTCCAACATGGATCTGTTGGTTCTTTTGGCAT